AGCACCTACACCTTGACAGATATTGCTGCCCTGCTCTTCTGCTCTGCTGTATCCCACAAGAGACTGGAACAGAGCCTCATGACAATCTCAAACTGTCAGGATTCTTTTCTTTTCTTTCTCCCTCCCTGTCATCTGTTGGCAGGAATGAAAACAAGCTGGCATGGACTTTCAGCTCCGAGATTGATCGATTGGTTATTTTACTGTTTGTATTTTGTCTTTCTCCACAGGCAGCCTGCCTGGCTCTACCCTTTCTCATTTCATCTTCACAACAACCCTGAGAAGTAGGTCAGGCCATGATAGAGTAAGTGGTCTAAAGTCACCAAATAAGACGGTCTGAGGAAGCGGACTGTAATCCACCAAAGCTTACATTGAAATAAACGTATTTGTCTTTCAGACGCCGCAGCTGTTTATTTTTGTCTTTGTCTTTGTGCTTGTTCTACGGTCTTCATTTCCTGGCTGAGCGGGCACTAGAACCCCGGGATCCCCCATGTCCCAGCCCCAAGTGTATTCTCTCTCTCTCTCTCTCTCTCTCTCTCTCTCTCCCCTGGATGATAATCTCTGAATCAGAAAGTCAGATGCTTTCCGCGTGTGGCGAGGGAGGCTGGGAATTGTAGTCCAAGAGGCAATGCACGAGGCTGAGCAAGGTTGATGTCAAAACTGGATTGTATTGACTTTTAGGCTAGTGGTTCCCAGACTACAATTCCCAGAAATCCTGGCCAGCACAGCTAGTGGTGAAGGCTTCTGGGAGTTTTAGTCCAAGAACATCTGGGGACCCAAGGTTGGGAACCAGTGTTTTATGAGGACACCTGGATTATGTTATAAACCGAACCATTTTGCCTGATGAAGAGCTTTTTGGATTTCCAAAGCTTGAGCGCGCTCCTTTGGCCCGCCTAAGGAGTAAAGACATTCCGCTAAAAGGGATTTTGGATCCTCTCGCCCGCGGCTGTCTTTCTTTTTTCTTTCTTTTTCTTTTGTTTATTCTAATTGAAGGGAGGTGGTAGAGGTAGAGGTAGAATTAGCGACGGTAGGGAGGCTAGCTCATTGTTTCTGCCTTCTCCAGACTCAAAACCAAGAAGCCGGGACCGTGAGCCGGAACAAGGCACCGAGGAGAAGAAAACTCGCAGGAAAGATGTTGTGGGTTTGTTGTTCTCTCTCCTCAGCTGGGAATCTCTTCGCGGGACTGGACTGGGGTGGAGCTGGCTAACCAAGGGTGATAATCAATGTCACCGATCGCCTGTCCCGGAAGCGATTTTTCTCGTGATTTCCAAAGATTCCCTTCGTGGAGTAAGAACTCTTTTGTCTGAGGAGCCGAAATCATATGAAAGAATCCCGGAGTCCTGACGGTGAGAAGCACCGCTGAACTCCCGTTGTTCTTACTGTTCATCGTGTTCTAGGGGGTTAATTAGGGATTTGGGCGTTTTTAAAATATTTAATTACAGTATTTAAATCCTGGCCTTGAGGTGCCATGGTGAAACTGCTGCGGCGGTTACTCCTTCCCTTGCTTCCGAAGTGCGTCGTTAAGAGCTTACCCGACAAATTTCGTCCACCGCCAAGGTCTGAACAACTTTTCCACACGCTCCCCTTGTGCAGCGCTTCGCCTCAGCGTGGCGCCGCCTTGACATAGCCGTAAAGGATTAGAAACACACCTCCCCTTGTGAAGTTGGCTATCACGATCCCTTTTGCAGTCCTAATCTGAGTGACCTTGATTTGAAGTCGTTGTTTGCCGGGATCGTGGGAGGAAGCGTTGAACTTCCTGCCAACTAGGTTTTTGAGAAGGGTTGTTTTTTTTTTAACTGCTAGTCCGGGAAGGGAAGCCTATATTTATTCACATGAACTGATTTTCAACTTGCTCTGTATTCCTGGAAATGCAAAATATCTAGATTTAAAACCCATCTAAACCCTTAGTCCTTATTGTATCATTTATTTGATTGTGTGCCTTTTTGATTTCTTTGAGATGCTGACCACCCCAATCTCAGACATACATTACTGGCCATTAATCAGCCAGGACGCCCGTGTTCTTGTCAACACTGCTTTGGGAATAGCAGTCGCTGCAATCATCTATACCTAAAATTTGATGTGTGTCCATTGAAAAAGAAGTGCAGTTCATTGGGCTTCCTCGTTGCTTCCTTGCAGGGAAATCTACTGTATGGGAAGCACATGTCTTTATATTCTATGAGATTTATTCACAAGTGTGTGTAGTATTTAATTCAATCATCAACCTGCTTTTATTTATGCATATATGTATTTATTTGCACTTCACACCCCTGATCTTGTTCCTTCGACCCTCCCCTTCTTTATATCCATGTCAATTTGTTAAATTTCCGGGGAAAGACTCCATCAAACGAACTGGATTCTAGTCTATGGGAAAATGGTGCCATGACCCATGTGCCACGTTTTACGTTGTCGGGGCGTTGTGGCAAAATCCCGCAGGGCGTCCTAAAGCACTAGAGAGGCCAAGAAGTTTTATGTGGCGTAAGCTTTTGTGGGTTTATTGTTTTTTCTGATTGAGATCAAAACAGCAGTCCTAGGCGGAGTTGTCTGGGGACAATTCCTGTTGAAGTCAGCGGAGTTTATGTCCAAGTATCCAGGCACAGAATCGCACCGTCAAGAGAGCTACTTACCTCTCTCGAAACATTACGGAGCTAGAACGAGGGGGATTCCCGTCTTAGCTCACAATCCAATGGGAGAAGTCCATGTCGACTCAATGAGTTTCAGGACGTCAAATTGGCTCGTTCGTAAAGCGGACATAATGACACATACGTGCTGAAGTATTGTGCTTTGTTGCAGTAATTCCTCCGTGTGAAATAGATGTTACACGGCGTTCACTACGGTGCTCGCTCTCACGATAAGGCTGGGAGTAGGAAACCCCCCTTCAGCCACCCATAGGAGCGAGCTCCGTCTTGTCCCGATCGCGGCTGTTCCCGCCGCTGAACCAATTGACTGTACACACGACGACGAAGGACGCCTCTTTGATTTCCCCGCCACAGCTTGACTCTTGAACACGTGACGAGGTGCGGCTGAAACGGGATGAGTAGGCGCGCTGGAAAAAAAAAAGAAAAAGTGCAGTCCAGGACTGCGGTGAAGACCAGGAGCGGATTAAGAGCCGGACCGGACTCCTGAAGAAACACATTCTGAATATGCTTCTCCATGCCGTTGTTTTGTACTCAAAAGAAAAAAATTCTTGCAAGTGGACAAGAAAGATTGTGGCGGGCTGCTATTTATTTATTTATTTATTTATTTATTTATTTATTTGCAGGATCTTCTCGGTGAAGATCCTCCGGCAAAGAATCGGAAAGACTAGTAGAGCACGACCCGCTCTAGCATTAAATGCGTGGTTCTGCCAAAGCCCATTTCTTGGTTACGAGTGGCTGCTGACGCGCCCTTCACCGGTCGAGCAAAACACGATGCTTGCTTGAGGTGCGGGGTGGACGCCACATTTCCGTCTTCCTGCGCTTAGCACGTCCCTTGCCGCGATGCAGCAGCCACCCGGGGGAGGCACCTTTGTATGCGGAGGGAGGCCTCCCTGCTCTCTGGATCAGCCTGCCGTGAGGGCGCGCGTCAAGCGATGCCGAAGGTGCCCTTTCGTGGGATGAGGAATTTCACCAGATCCACTTTGCACCCTCTTGGGAATAATATCCCACGGGACTCAACTGCTAATAGTAATGCATCTGACTGGACCTCTACCATCGGATCGCCAGCAAACTGAGCATACCCAAGAGCTGAGCTTTTTTTCCCCTGCCAGTGAGCAGGCGCAGCAACAGATGCCGTTCAAACGTTAACACTTTTCCAGAGGGACATTTCCGTAAAGCCCGGGAAAGGAGCCTGGGTTCCACATCAAGTCACGTTCCTTCCATCTCCCGCTTTTTGTGGCTCTTTGCCTGATGAAAGGTTTTGGAGACATCTGGTGCCTGCACCCATTTTTGTGCCCGTTTGGTTGGTCTAACAATAAAGTAGCTGGCTGGATAACTTAGTAGATTAGGTATTTGGCGACGGAGCCAGAGGTTGGGAGTTCGATTCCCCATTGTGACTCCTGCGAGGAGAGCTAGCCTGTGTGGCATTGGGCAAGCTGCACAGTCCCGGAGTGCCCCCAGATGAAGGGATTGGTAAACCGCTTCTAAGTCCCAAAAGAAGGGAATGGTAAACCGCTTCTAAGCATTCCCCACTTGGAAAAGCCTGGAAAGGATCGCCATAAGTCAGAACTGATTTTACGGCATGCAATTATTATTATTAATAAGAAAGTAATAAGGATTTCCAGACAGGGTTGTTGTGTTTCTTTCTGCCTACCATATGGGGCGGGTTTGGCTACAAGGCAGCGGCGGAAGAGGGCCCTAAATAAAAGCAAAGGGATACGTCACTCAGCGGCGCCTGAAGACTCAATGTCGCTCCCCGGCTCCCTTCTGGTGAAGCCGATCCTCTGAAAGTAACGATGATAAAGCGGTTCCAGATGTGATGGCAAGGGGAAACCAGATGAGGAGGGGGCTGTATAACCTAGGAGCCATGTAGGATGTCCTTAAAGTGGCCGGGCGTCTTGAGCTGCGCCTGGAGTGGACAGCTGGCTAGGGGGTTGGTGCTACGGGAATCTCAACAACAATACGGTACTACCTTGGCGGTGTGTGTGTGTGTGTGTGTGTGTGTGTGTGTAATTTTATTCAGTGGGCTGTATCCAGGCTTAGGCCTGCTTGGAAAAGACATTACATTAATACAGACGGCGACTCAACGTACTTCTTGTCCCACACCTGCGAAAATTCGGTGAGTGTACAGTAGAACTAACGATCAACTGGATCCGAGGAGAGTCTCAGAAGAATGAAGGAACGGGAAACCGAGATGAAACGAGACTATGGAGAAGGTGGGAGAAGAAAGAGGAAACGATCTTGAAAAAAAAACAAAACACCAGCACCCTCCAAAATCCTGTTGATTTCCAGAGAAGATAGTTAAACTACACGTTGCCGTTCACTTTGTTCCATTGAAACAAATGTAATTTTGGCTGAATTCTGCGCAGAATGGCCAAGATGCGCGATGATAGGGTGAAGGTGAGGGTCACGAGCAAAACAAACGCTACCTATGCTTTGATTGAGACAGGCAGCGGAATTCTGAGGTAGCAAATTCTGGATTGTGTCATTGCAGATAGGAGGTGAGGATAGCATTTTTGAGATTTATTTCTTCTTATAACATTTTTCCCAAAACAAAAAGAAACAAACTAGTTCGCTTCTTCCAACAGGATTATCTTTCTTTTTTTATTTAGAGGAAGTTTTAAAAGGTTTTAAAAATAATAGTATCTTTTAAAAAGTTATTCTTCATCTGCGGTCAGTTAATTGTGGGGCAGGCATGGATTAACGGACCTGAAAGAGGTCCGAGCAGGATTCGAACTCGCCCCCCCTTGTGGCGCTCCGCCGCTAACTTTTATCTCCTGCCGCTGGCCCCGGCGGTGCTGCTCGCCTGGGGTTAGAAAGGCTCCGTTCGCCTTCCCTCTCGCACAACAAGGGTCGCCAGATCGGTCATTCAAACGGCTCTGGCGCCCTCCCGGTGCGAGAGGAGGGAAAGAAAAGGGGGCCGGCCGGAGACGCGGACGAGCGGCGCTTCGAGCTTCAGCCGAGTCCCGACCCGTCTTTGCACGGGCGACGAGCCCGTGGGATTCCTGCGCCCCCCGAAGAGAAGCCTGGAAGGTAGGACTCTCCCAGACCGGACGCATCTGGGGCCCTTTGGGTGAGACAGGCAGAGAAAGAAGCTGGCGGCCTCGCAATCTTGCTGCCTTCATAGTATTGCTTTTTCAAAAAGAGGAATCTTGATTGCAGTGTAAAAGGAGTAGGGGGGGGCGGAGAAGCTAAATCTTCCAGAACTCCCCCTTTTCCTTTATACTATATTCTTTTTATTTCCTCCCTGTTCCCTAAGTAAGAAAGACGAAGAAAGTCAGTGTGATAGTGAATAGACAGCTGGATTAGGAGGGAGGAGACCTGGGTTCAAATCCTTGCTGGGCCATGGAAACAGCAGGGCAGAGGGTAGCAATGGGAAACCTCTCCTGGAACATGCAGGTACCTTGAAACACATACTGGGGAGGCCGTAAGTCAGCAGCAGCAGCAGAAGAAGAAAGGAGAGAAAGAAAGGGTTTTCTTTCTTTGGGCCTGTTTATTTTCCAGTTGCCCGTCTCTGGGATGAACTCTGCTTTCTCAGAGGCTTTCACACTGGAGCCCCATACATGCTTTGTCATCGAGGCCAAAACAACAAGGAAGCAGGAAAGAAGCAGCAGCAACAGCAGAGAAGTTCTCTTTCCCCCCCCCGTCCCCCCACTGATTTTTTTTTTTATTTTTTATTTTTGGCTAGCAAGCCACCCACTGCAAAACAGATGGAGCTGAGGAGGATTTTCGCCCCGCCTTGGTGAAAAGTTTGGGGAGGCTTCCAAGATGTGTCGGGTTGGGTGAGACACCCCATCCTCAGCAAGAGCTATTGGAGCCAGACAGCACATATGGGGGGTGTGTGTGTGTGTGTGTGTGTGTGGGTGTGGGTGTGTGTGTGTGTGTGTGTGTGTGTGTGAGAGAGAGAGAGAGAGAGAGAGAGAGAGAGAGAGATGGGTCGGCAAGCTGTTTATTTTGTGCTCCTTTAGAGTGTTGCATTCAATGTGGTTGCATGACTAAACTGGCTGGAGTGATTCACTGGCTGCCTTTCTGGGTGACTACACAAAATACGTTGTGAATCAATAGAGATGTTCTGGCTGGGCCTCCCAGCCTCCCAAGTTAATGCACTCTGGATTTAAGGAGAGTTAATTTAGACAGTGGGGCTTTCGGAGCCAGCAGATTTATTCCTTTTTCCACACAGAGTCGTGATGCGTTTCCTTTTGCAGGATGGAGGTAAGCTCTGTGCCAAAACCTTGCCAGTCACATTCCCTTTTCCGTCTGTGGTAGCCCAAGACATTTTTCTACCTGGAGTGGAGCCCGGCTGGAGCCACAACAGCCACCATGGCCGCCGCCACCTCCACCCAGCCATCTCTAGGGCAAAACCTTATTTGATCTTCAGTGCAGGGCCAGCCCTGTTCTCCATTCCTCTTCCCTGCATCTCTGATTCAGAAAGCAAACTTGCTCTACCCTCCACATGACAATCCATCAAATATGTAAAGATGGCACTTATGGCCTCCAAGTCTTCTTTTCTCCAGAGTAAACATACCTGACTCCCTCAACCATTGTTTATAGGGCTTGGTTTCCAGACTATTTACCATCTTAGTTGCAATCTTCTGGAGTTTTTCCATATTCTTCATATACTGTATTGTGGTGTCCAGAACTGAACACAGTATTTAAGATAAAGTGTGACCAAAGCAGAATGGAGTGGTGCTATTACTTCCCTTGATGTGGATGCTATACTGCTCTCAATGTAGCTTAGAACTGGATTAGTTTTTATTTATTTCTTTGTTTTGGCTGCTTCATCATGATGTTGACTCATATGTGGCTTGTGTCTTTTCACACATGCTAATGTCAAGCAAGGTTTCAGCTATCCTATATTGTACATCTGCTCTTTCCTGTCTAAATGTAAAATGTTGCATTTTCCCCTGTTGAATCTCTTGGCCCAGTTCTCCAATCTGTTAAGGTCATATTGAACACTGATTCTGTCTTCTGAAATGTTAGCTATCTCTACCAGTCTGACATCATCTGCAGATTTAAAAAGTATCTTCTCTTCTTCATGTTGAGCATCTCAAAGTATGGGACAGAACTCTGTGGTTCTTAACTTATCACTTATCTCCAGAATGATGAAAAACCATTGGTGATCACTCTGCAGGTGCAGCTTGTCAACCAGCTACAAATCCTCTTATTAGTAACATTTTCTAGCCACATTCTAAAGTTCCAAATAGAGTAGTCCTAGAACGAGCTGGAATTTTTAGCATGTATACATTACTGAAACAGTGACATCTACGTTGGCTTAGGCATGTCGTGAGAACAGCTGATGGTCAGATTCCAAAAGATCTCCTGTATGGAGAATTAGTTGCAGGGAAATTGACCCAGACGGAGATCACAGCTGTGATACAAGGATATCTACAAGCGGGATCTGAAGGCCTTAGGAATGGACCTCAAGAGATGGGAAACCCTGACTGGAGCATTCAGCTTGGAGGCAGCGGTGCATCATGGCCTCTCCCAATTTGAAGAGACCCTTGTCCAGCAGGCCGAGGCAAAGAGGCAGTCCCGGAAGCAGCAAAATCAGGGACAGATCGGATTTGTCTTCAGAGTGGGATTGTCACTCTCGAATTGTCCTTCTCAGCCACACTAGATGTTGTTCCAAGTCCTCCATACAGAGCACGTTACCATAGTCTCTTGAGACTGAAGGATGCCTAACCTAACTTAATCTAGCCACATTTTACCAGTTTTGCTAGAGAAAGTAATGGGGCATCTTGTCAAAATACTTGCTGTAATCAAGATAAACTATACTAGTATTCCACTGGTCTATGAAGCTTTAACTCTGTTAAGAAAAGATACAAGATTAGTCTGGCACAGTTTATTTTTCAGAAAGCCTTCTTGGATCTATGTTCTAAGTGATCACAGACTGACTATTTAATTATCTGTTCTAGAACCTTTCTTCATACTTGTGTCAATCTGTGGAAGGAATGGTTGTTGATGGTGGCAGAAACGGTGGGATTCAGTGGAAGAATACCATTGCATTTTGACCCAAGAATTCTCAAAGATTATACACAGCAGTCACTCTGATTTTTTTTAGACACTTCCCCTTTTTCCCTTCACAGGAATAATTATGAATATCTTCAGTATCTCACCGTGAAGAAACTCTCATCTATATCCATTGGAGCAATCCAATCTATAATTAACATTTTTTGTTCCAGTCTTTCCAACTGTGTCATCTTACCCAGTATTTTCTTAAGCTTACTGAAATCATCTTTCTTAAAATACAAGGTGCATATGATGTGAAATATCGAACAATGATGCAAACTACATTGTGGAATACTAATGAACTCTAGTATGGCTTGAAAAATAAACAAATCAAGTGTTTTCTAAGATTATCCAAGCTATTTCAGCTAGAAAGTAAGAATGATTGTGATTGGTATCATCAACTACTCTGACGTAAATTAATTGTCTCTTTTTATTTGAGCAACCAAATAGGTAGTGACCATCAGCTTCAGGCAGCAGACAGTGCCCCAGTGATATCTATGTTTCTCAGACCTATATTCTACCTGGAGATGATGAAATTTTTTCCTGAATCTCTATTTTCAACATCCTCTGTTTTTAAGTGGTTTTACTGTTTTGGTTTTACTGTTTTTAAAATTTGTAATGCCACCCAGAGAAGACCTTTTGTCTAGATGGGCGGGGTATAAATCGAATAAAATAAATAAAATAAATAAGTGAACCAACCTAACTTTGGTTTCCTCAACCAATAAGTGGACTGGAGCACACAGTTACCAATGGTTATACTCTTAGTTGGAAGAAGAGGGGATGGAAAGGGGAAAAAATAGCAGAGACAAACAACTCACTTATTGTGTGTGTGTGTGTGTGTGTGTGTGTGTGTGTGTGTGTGTGTGTGTGTGTGTGTGTGTGTGTATGCCACCACATTGTAGATTTTTTTTTTAAATTAAAAGTTTATCCTTATGTTATCGAAGGCTTCACAGCTGGGATCCAATGGTTGTTATGGGTTTTTTGGGGGGGAGTCTGTTTGGCTGTGTTCTGGAGGGTTTTCTTCCTAATGTTTTGCCAGTCTCTGTGGCTGGCATCTTCAGAGGACAGGAGCTAGAATTCTGTCCAGAACACAGACAGTATTCTAGCTCCTGTCCTCTGAAGATGCCAGCCACAGAGACTGGCAAAATGTTAGGAGGAAAAACCTCAAGAACTCACCCAAACAGCCTAAAAAGCCCACAACAACCAAAAGTTATTCCTCCTCCACTATCTGCCTGTCTGATTAAGTCATTAATCCATGTAGTGAATAGCACTTTGATGTGATATAGATGCCTTAGATTTAATACAGGCAAAGCACCCAGTAATCCGGAATGTTTTTAGACTGGAAGAATCCAATCTTTCAGCTTTATGAGGTGGTTATATTGTAGGTATACCATCTAGGCTAAGAGACTTTGCAGGTTTCTCTACTGCTGCTTAATTTCTGTGCTTCAAAGAAGAATCTACTGATGCTACACTACTGACCAGCAAAGCTGGTGACACTGCAGTTGTTCTTTTTCAAAAAGACCAGCCAAATCTCAAATACCTTTAGAAAGAATATAGTATTTTGCACTGGGGGTGGTCAACCATTGACATGAGGGCCAGATGTAGGTGTCACAGTAGGGAAAAGGAACTTGTGGTATTTCTGGAGAGAAACCAGGGGCCTGTGGGTCTTGGCTTTGGTGGATTCTCAGCAACCTTTAACTTATTACATTGCTGTCTCGGTCTAATAGAGATTGAACTATTCCAAGGCATGAGACCTACAGATGCTTTCAGGGCTGGCCTGAGGTAATTTCACTTGTAGCTTGCTTGTCTGTCTGTCTGTCTGTCTGTCTGTCTATCTATCTATCTATCTATCTATCTATCTATCTATCTATCTATCGATCTATCTATCTATCTATCTATCTATCGATCTATCTATCTATCTATCTATCTATCGATCTATCTATCTATCTATCTATCTATCGATCTATCTATCTATCTATCTATCTATCGATCTATCTATCTATCTATCTATCTATCGATCTATC